TTGCAGTATCATTATTTGCTCTTTCTTGCAAATACTTGATACGTTACCTACTTATTTTAGTGTATATACTGGTAAGTATTTGCAGGTAAATATAATTACATCAGAAAATACATAAAATTTCCAGTTAATTCTTGGGGAATTACACCCTTAGTCACAAGAATATTATAAAGTGCTATTAGCCCTGATAGCAGCGTGGTACTCCACCTGCTTTATATTAAAAACACTTTCATGTCCAGTGTAACTGTGATGCATTCTGTAAACTGCTGAGTATGCAGGTTAAAGGTTGGGAATAGGTAATGTGAAGGACAGACAGTAAACAGTTTAAACTGAACCCTGCACTCTTACATCACTTAGCACACACTAAGATACTGTTTGCTTTGCGCTGTTTGCTACACTTAAACTGTTACCAGTGTAGTCTGATATTTGCTATGCTGTTTGCATTTAAATTGTGCTTTTGCTTTTTTGATCATTTCGTCAGTTATTAGAAAGATGATTTAAAGTAACTTAATTTAAGTATTTGTCTCCGACCAGGCCCATCCCTTTATGACCACAGTGCACCCATCTGTTGATGGCTGCTTCCAACAGGACAAATCATCATGCCACTAAGCTCAAATCATCTCAAACTGCAGCTTCAAATCATGGATGTGCAGCAGGTCTATGATGCTATCATGTCAATCCAGACCCAATCTGAGGAATGTTTTCAGCACCTTTTTGAATCTGTGGAGAATTAAGGCAGTACTAAAAGCAAGAGAGAAGCCAACCTGGTAATAACTACCTGTACTTAATTAATGGCAAGTGAAAGGTTTGCCAATTCTGTCCACGTTTATTTTGAAAATCCCCACCGGAACAGCACCACTGTACCGAGGTATTTGACTTGACAGATGGCAGGCGGGAGACGCTCCTCTCTCGACTGTCTCTCTCGGTCCGTTGGTCCATCCCGGTTCTCATTGTCTCCCCTGTTCACTCCTTGAAGACAACCCCGAGACGACCAACTAAACTTAGCCGTTTTTTTCCCGCTCACACCACACACTATGCTTTACGTTTGGAGACTTACCTCGACCTGAAAATTTACCCCTTCCCTCTGTGTATGAAATTTGGACACGCTCTTCTGTTTTCTTGTTTTTGTTTTTGTTTTTTCGTTTTTTTAAAAAAAAAAAAAACATTGTATAAACGCGTTGGCAGTAACGGAGACAGCACCGACTGAAGCAACCATCGGCTGACGGGCTTGACAAGACAGCAGTTGTGCCATGGATCTGATGGGGAGATGAACCGAAGGAGGAGGAGGACTCATTAGCCAAAAAGCGCCCCCCGAAATCAGCTTCCAGCGGTTGTTGACACCTCACAACATTTTTATCAATGACCGTTTTCTCACTGGATAAAACACCACAGCTATCGGAACATATAAGACAGGTTTGGGACCTAAGTGTTGGAGATTTGAAATAAATATATAAATAAATAAAACGCGGTTTTTGGTGAAGGATGTTGCCGCTACATGTCCGTTACTTCCCCTGAGAGGAGAGGAGCTCGCCTGTGTGAAAAGAAGCAGGGACCACTTTCGCTTGTTTTCTCCACCCTACAACAAATTAGGCTGTTTCACTCACACGAATGCAAGTGGCTCTTAATCGGATTACTAAACGAGGGATTTAATCTGGAGGGGAATACATCCATCTAATCTCACCGTCTCTCTTTCCCCCCCAGCCCTTCAGTGTCTTTAAGTGGCTGCTGGTGTGCTGGACTGTGTGACTTCCAGTGTGCTCAGCGTTGTGATGATGATGGTGATGATGATGCGACTAATCGAGGTGATCGCAGGTGATGTCTGGACAAGTGCAAACTGTGTAGAAATCACTGGAAAGTCGCTGTAACCTCTGCTGGATGAATGAATGAAGGAGCTGGATCTGACTTCGTTTCTGCCACATGTATTGAAATGCAGCTGATTTAGCAGGCTACTAAAGTGCCCTCAGTTGCTGAGGCTTGGAGAGGGTTTATCTACATATCCAGCTCTGTGGACTTGAATCATCCCCCTCCCCAGAGGACGTACTGTTACAGGCTCAAGCAGTTGCCTTTCATTCCCTTCACCTCCAGAGAGTACAAGGGGGGAGCTGGTACCCTGTCCTCTGAGCCCGAGAAGGGAGTGCTTCTACCTGGGCTGGAGGCCAGCCAGACGGCCCTTTGGGAGCTTTTGGATTTTGAAGGAGAGATTTTGGGGAGTTTCTGCTCCACGTGGACCTCCAGAGAGAGCCAGGAGGACATCATGGGGTGCTGCAGTGGCAGGTGCACCTTGGCCTTCATCTGTGGCATGCAGCTGGTGAGTGTTTACGTTACTATTGATCCTGTAAGGGGAGGAAAGTCTGGGTTAAATCTTTGAAAAGCTCCACAAACAGACAAGTTCTGATGGGAAAGAAGAAAAAAAGGCATCTTTATCTGGAGGTGGAGCAGGAGGAGAGGTGGGTGGCTGGAGAGAGGGAGAGATGGATTACTCAAAGGTCACATTTCAGAAGTTAATAAAAGGTCATGATACAAGGAATGATGTCGAATGACGAATATGAGAACTGAATAGAGGAATACTGTTGCCTGGAGCTCTGAGGCTGTACTAAGAGTCCATATAAAGGGATTGATGGAGGTGGAGAGTGATAGATGGAGGCACTGTAGAGAAACGAGGTATGGGTGGATGGCAGATGGATAGATATATGAAGCGGGTACATGTAAAGCAAAGAAGGTAAAGACCCATTATAAGGTTGCAGCATCAGACGCTGCCATTCTGTGTCTGTCTGTCTCCCGGTGTATCTCTCTTTTACACCATCTGTGTCAGTGGAAACTGGTGCCAGGCAAGACAACTGGGAGGAGGGATGGTCTGTAGGTGTGTATGTGTGCATACATGTGAGGAAGTGTGAGGAGAAGCACAAACAGTTTTATTAGTTCTGTCTTGTAGCTTCTGCATAATATGAGGAAAATTTTTCCCGGGAGCAGAACGATGTAATGAAGCAGCAAGAGCTGCCAAATGGTTTAATGTGGGTGACCTGCTGGTAGATCATGACATTTCTTTTTAAACAGGCATAGTGGATAACATTGTTTTTAGGTAGCATGTGAATAAACATTGTTGGAATTCAGTTAATGTTTTTATTGTTGTTGTTTTTTAATTAAATTTTATTAGATTTTCAGGCTTTTTAGCCTTGTTTTGGTTAGTTTGTGACAAGCTTGTTGCCACCTTGGTTTCTGTATACCACTATATATAGTCACTACGCATAAACCTCCTGTAAACTATCTGTGGAAACCCTGCTTTTGCATTTTATTTTGTCTTTTATCATTTCATAGTTTTATATCTGTGTGTGTGTGTACAAGAATACAGTCTATTTGCCCAACCTTAGTTAAGAGGATACTATAGGAAATATAAATGTAGGCTGTTGTTTCTTCGGTAAGGCCGTTCCACTGTTTGCATCGCATCTCTTTCAATAAAGTTGAGCGATATGTAAACATCTCTTGTACCTACGGCATCTGTGTTACTCTTGGCAGCTTAAAGGTATTTATTGTGAATTTCCAAGCGAAACAGTTAAATCCTACTTCTGGTTCCTCCCTTTATTCACAAAGGGTCGCCACAACAGGTAGCTGTGCAGCTTTGATTTGGCAGATTTTTACATTGGATGCCCTTCCAGACCACCGAGGGCTGGTGTCAGGAAGGGCATTAAGAACGTGAACAAACTTTATGTTGTAAGTGACTGAGTGCTGTGTTGTGGTGAAGAGATATCAGGAATTTCTAGTAGGACCTGGCTGTACGTTCCAATACCAATTTGTACCAGGGTTGACTCGATAATAGAATTTCAATATCAATACCCAAGTATTGCCCAAGACAATACTCGATACTTGATGCCACTTTTGAAACCAAAGGCAATGTTTTGACCCAGTAGTGCAACTGCAGAAGTACCAGTGAAGACTCGATCAAAATCTTGAAAAAGTTAACTTGTTAATTTTCAACTAATTTCCCCAATTATAAATTTGATTTAACAAAACAAGTATTTAGGATTAATTTTAGAGATTTTACTTATTTTATAAATTATTTAGACAATTTCACTACAGACCATAAAGTTAAAATGTATTTTATATATGTATTCCTCATAATAAACGAAGGGTACAACCAACAGCATAATACCTACCATATGTAAGTAACTTAATTGTTGTAGAAGAAGAGCATTAAAGAAAATTTAAAGATGAACTTTGGTTGAAGTGTGGTATTCGTTCTGCTGCAAGAATTATTCATCTTTTATCTGGCTACAGTCCACAAGCTGCTGCATTAATGGTTTCAGATGGATAATGTGGCCATTGGGTAATTGCTAATAATTAAACAGGTAGCACCAACGTGTGTGCCGGCTAGGTTAACATTCACAATACTTGTTTAATAATTCAGTGCTGTAAAACGGGAGCTTTACTGACCTCTGAAATTCCTCCTAAAATGTTGTTCACTCTTATGAACGTTAACTACTTGAAGGGGCTGCACGGGTGACTGTGCATGAAGATCGGCTGGAGGAGGCAAAGACGGCACTGTTTGTATAGAAACAGTTCCAAAAAGGACAGCAGGACACATCTAAAACATTTAAACACTTGCTTGTTAAAATGCCGCCGCTTGGTGGTGAATGTTTGAGGTCAGTTTTGGAGATTGTAATTAAAAAAATGTTCCTTTAAGAATAAGACAAAAAAAAACACTGTTTCTAATGGCTCCCTTTTAAGTCCTCAAACAGACTTTTTAAGCTGAGAGCATGACTTTAATTGATCCCCAGTTGTGAGAAAGTAGATGCCTTTACTTTTCTTTCTAATACTGTTATATTTAAGCTGCTCATTCTAGCTACATTTTAAACTAAAGGATTATTATTGCTACTGTACATAGTAGCTATAAGACTAACAGCCACAGCAGAGTAATAATTCCAGGCAAAGATTCTCCAGACGCTAACCCGGGGAAAATGAAGGAAATCATTCCCTTTAGGCAAAGCGGTACCACTCATCACAGAATAAATCCTGCATTTTCTAAAGATTTATGAAATGTTGCTGTTAGAGGATCTCGCTGTAGAGCTTTTGTCTGCCGCGTGTATGGTAGCCAAAGACAGGCTATGATATAGAATGGGACAGTGAACACGCATGTGAACAGAAATGCATAAACATGAGGTGAAACGCTTTGGCTGTTGCAGCCTTTGCAGTCATGTGCAGTGAGTGTGTGCAAAAGTAAAAAGCTATTGTGATGATGAATAGGAAGCTGTTAGCGGCAGCACGAAGCACTCTGTTTTCGATACAAAAGGAAAATATAGAGAAAAAAAACTATCCAATTTACCATAAAGATATTATGTGCATGACCCTCTTTGAGCGAGCGTGTGCTTGTAGGCCTATTGTGCTGTGAAATAGGACGTTGCACTGCTCGTTTCCATTCAAATAAAGACAGTTCTGTAAGTGAACACGCCCGCAGCAGAATGCCGATGAGTTTATCAAATGCGGTGCACACACTGTACGCGAAGAAACACACCACTGTGCTGTAAATGGGGATGCTGTGTATTTCCCTGTGTGAAGTAAAGGCCACGAGTGACTCTGTGTGTGTGTGTGTGTGTGTGAGAGAGAGAGAGTGCTTGAGAATGAGATGCTGTCACAGAGATAGTCATTGTATCTAATGCGGTGGAACTAATGCTATGCCATAGTCAACAACATGTTTTGCTCTGTTAACCGTTGTAATAGCTAAGCCAGCTGATGAGCTGGAGGTCTAACACTACTGTATGTTTCAGCTTGGCCATGCACGGTTAGCATCTGCAGCTATTCGAGCAGAGGGCTCGTGAAGCATCACAAAAAGTGCTCGTTTCCACTCTTCAAAGACATACATTTGAAGACATTTTATTCCTGCGGTTCCCTCACCAGAAGGCACGCTGCTCTCAGTCCTCTCTGCTGTGAGTTAACCACATTGACCACAGATTAAAGACAGCCTCTTACCCTGCCTCAGACGCCCCCCTGTTAGAAGTAATTGTTTTTGCTAAGTGAGCCTCCGCCTAATTGGGGAGCTTGTAGAGTAGGAAGCAGCACTGGTCCAACCCAGTATCACGGCAAAACATGTAATAGACACAGCGCTCCACCATGTCTTTTTCACGCTTTGCCTCTCCAAAGTGTAAAAAAAAAAAACCAGTGGACCGGCATGTCTGTTGCAAGTTTTGGTGCAATATCGGGTTGACTTATGTAAGGGAACTGATGTCTTATGTAACTCCTAGCAGCAGTTTTTCCCCCTGCTTCATTAGCTAGGTTAATTGCTAAAAGCTGATGTCGCCACACCTGAGAGAGATCAATGATCCAGGTTGGAGATATGTCTACTTCACAGCTGACGTCAAAGCGTGCAGAGTTTAATGGATTCTATCAGCCAAATGTATATATTTGCCTGATTGTTTTCATTGGTCTTGCTTTTTTATTAGTAATGTGTAATTTAATGTCAGCAGTTAGTTCAAAGAAAAAAGTGTGCTGCTTTTCTGATAGCGCTCGATGCCAGTCCAAATCGTTTTCTTTCTTTTCCTCACAGCCACACTTAGTAAGTAAAGCTAAAGGGACTATTGACTTTGGGGGATTGAATAAATGGTTATATTCTCAGTGAATCAAGTAACCTCTAAAGAAAAAAACGTAAAATGTAATTACGTCCAAGGTGATGGCTTCATATCCCTTGATTTGGATATGAAGCCATCAAAACAAACAAACAAAAAAAACAAAACAAAACAAAACAAAACAAAACAAAACAAGAAAACAGCAAAAGCTACAATTTTCTTTTACACTTACAAAAGAGAGAAAACGAGTAAAACAAACGCTCACTTGACAAAGAGACCAGCACAATTAAAAGTAATATACACTCATTGGACACTTTACTTTTTACTTTGTACATTTAAGTACAGTGAACTTGCTATCTTCAAGAAATTATTGTATTAGTTGAGCTTTGTGACATGTTGATGTTATCCTGCTGAAAGCAGCTATCAGATGGTACCCTGGTCACAAAGGGACGGCCATGGTTCCTTCATGACCGCTCAGGTAGGCTGTGGCATTTAAAAGATGATCAACAGGTAGCAAGAATATGTCCCCCATAGCGTTACACCACCATCACCAAGCTGAACTGTCAGTAGTAGACAGGGAGAATCAATGCTTTTGTGTTGTTTACACCAAATTCTGACCCCACCATCTGAGTATTATAGAAGAAACAAAGATTCATCAAACCGGGCAGCATTTTTCCAGTCTTTTAATGTCCAATTCAAATATGGTGTAGCCTCGATTTCCTGTTCTTAGCTGTCAGGAGTGGCCGCAGGTGTG